CATTATGTTTCACATTCGTTCGAACGAAATTTGAGAAATATTCCGCGTGATATAAACAAGGCCCTTTTTCGTCGTACAATATTCAGCAACATTGGCGTGTGGGACCAATTACATGTGCAATATCGTACAGAATTTGAGGTTTTCTATAGCCATATTGTCAACGTGAAACAAGGAGAAACAGAATTCCACTAAATATATTAATGAATTAGGACTGTACAGTCAATAATCATATTCAAAATTTTAATCATAATGCACCTTTGAAAAACTATTAGACAAATCGAGAGAAACTCGAGAGCAAGAAGAGAAAATGAGGATCATTCGTATAATGCACTCCCGGGAAAAATAAAGATGTATTGTCCAACCCACCAAACACAATCACAACTGTCTCGCCCGTCACCGCCCTGCCTCCACAATATCCAACCCCAAAAACAACCAAAAATCCGATTCACATACAAACCCTAAATTTGCTATCCGAACCCTGGCAAAATCTTAGGCTCGCCATGAACCCACAACATCCCAACCAAATGTTTATAAATTGGGACCAATAATTGCCTTCGATAAGTCCCCCTATTAGTATTATTATTCCTAAATCAGGATGATAAGTACCTATTATATCAAATTTTGGTTTCCCATGCTTCTCCTCTTTGGCAAATATTTCTACCCTCTTTGATGTGATGTCCAACAAGACTCTCGTGAAAACGGACAACTAACATTTTTTTTTCAACCGACTTGATTAATTATATTGCCTAAAGATAGCAATGACTTGAAAGTACGAATTCGAGTAACTCATAAATTGTTCCCCGATAAACAGTAAAATAAAATCAACTCGTGATAGATGATGGACAAAGACTAAATGCATATTTAATGTGTTCACAAACACACTAAATAAAAAATATTTTTATCTATACATATCGTATGATCCATAAGCACTACTCGTTCATTCATTCATTCTATATGTTCCTAAATAGTAGTACTGTTTATTTTAGAAAACCAATGATAACAATTTGCTCTAATACTATTTGTTAGAGATTGGGCCAATTCTATGAATATTAAAAGGCAAGACATAGGCAATAAGAAAATAACAATCATAAAAATATGAAATTTTTAAGTGGAAATCCAATACGTGAAAAACAATGGGCAGAAGCGGAGAATTCCCTTTATCAAAAGTGAAAAAGACTTTCCCCCGATATCTCTATCTATGCGTCTCTCTATTAACTTGGATCCCTCTTGGATTTCTCTCTGAATAGATCAAATAAATATGTGTAATTAGGGATGGCAAAATTATTCGTTCAATCTGATACCCGTAGGGCCACTCCCCAAATGGGGCGAGAATTACCCATCTAATCGGGGAAAAAAGGCAAGAGTCATTACCTCGAAACGGATACGAGAAATATAGTTCTCGTCAAGTTTAAAGTTAATTTCAAGTTTAAGTTTTTAATAAAAAATAAATAAATGATTTATCATCATTTTTAAAGTCAACATCAGTTGTTCTTGACAAGCTAGAAAAAAAAAGTAATAATATTTACTAATTAAATACATAAAAAAATAAATGGGGCGATAAACGAGACAGGGGACCTACTCTTTCACTCCGAACCCGCCTGTCTCGCTTTAACAGAGTATGAGAATGAAGTAAGATGACAAAAAATAAATACCCGACGACATGGGTGATAATGGTCGACCCGTCCCATACTTGTTTCATTTCCATTACTATGCGTAATACACCACAAATTTATAATACAAGAATACTAACATACTAAGAGAATACAAACAAGATTCTAACATAAAACGAAACCTTATAATAATAGGTAAAATCAATAACAGAGTCAAATACGTCTTTAACTTCTTCAAAACTTCTTCAAAACATACTATCAGCTCCCGATAAAATTCGGGTCACAACCGACCACTAACAAATCTCCACCTTAACACTACTTTTACAGCAAAGAATAAAACTTGACACTTCAACTCCAACAAAATTCTCGAAAGAAACACTCCGTCAAATTATTCCACCTCTTTCACAAAGTCCAACTAAGTCAAACTCAACAACCACCAACTGAATCCAATCAATGCTTATCTGCACGATTACTTTAGGTACCAAATTTGCTCGAATTATCACAATGAGCAACAAGATCACAACTAAATCCACCCGAGCTAAGCAGGTTCTTCAATACCAAATTCGCTCAAATTATCACCATGAGCATCTATTCAAAACCAACTCTGCTTGAGTCAACGCTTATCATACCATAAGCAATTAAATCAGCATCCTCTTGAGGTCTAATTTTCAATTTAGCGACAACTACGTCAAACGTGATTGTCGAACCTTCCAAGACATGTAATTGAGATTTTCTCAGCTCCTTTATCCCAACTTGATCCTTACGTTGCTTCTTTTCCAGTGTCCAAACAAAAATCTATTGCGATCCAAAAGTGAAATATCAAACTTTATTCTTGCCATCTCGAAATAAAAAAATTGTTCCGAGTTGATCAAAACTCGCTCTAATGTGAAACCAAATGGCTCTCACAGGAACTGTCAATCCTTGACTCCAATACCACTTGTTAGAATATCGATGATAGTAATTTACTCTGATACCACTTGTTAGAGATTGAGCCAATTGTTATGAATATTAAAGATGAGATATAAGCAATATAAAAATAACAATCATATGAATACAAGATTTACGTGGAAACCAAAGACGAGAAAAATCGCATGCAGAGACAGAGAATTCATTATATAAAAAAATAAGGAGTTACAATATATTATGCGGGATCTCACGAAACTCTCCCTGATATCTCTATTTGTAAGTCTCTTTCTATTAACTTGGATCTCCCTAGAATCACTTTGGGTCATCAAATAAATGTGTAATACACCACATATATATAATACAAGAATCCATAACATATTAGGAGAATAGAAACACACTCCAGCACAATGTGAAATCCTATTACAATTAGTAAAATCAGTAACGGAGTGTTTGAGTTGAAATAAAAGTTCAAAAATTGTCGAATATGTCTTTGACTTCTTCAAGACTTTTCCAAAGCCTACTACCAACTTCAATGGAACTACAACCGAACTCTAGTAGTTTATGATAAGGGTGGACAAAACTCATAAATGAAACCGAAGAGCGGTTCGTTTGTTCTTAAGTTTAAATTGAGTAACGGCTAATAGAACCAAGAATCAACGGATTTTGTTGTGTTCTCGATTTTCAGGATCCAAATTCAAAAACTAAATCTTGCATTTTTTATTTTTTATTTTTATATTGAATCTGATAAAATATTTCATTTTTCCTTAAAAAAAGTGCTTATTTTGAGAAGAATTGAACTGTCTTTGGAATAATCAAAAAAAGTTGAAAATTTAATAATTGAATGAATATGAATCGAATTGGTTCGATAATTAAAATTGGACCCTAAAATTCATTTATAAAATATCCAATAATATTTTATCCGATTTCATTTTTTAAAAGGAACCGAACCGACTCTTGCCCACCTTTTAAGAAATGCAGAACATAAGTGTGGATGCACAATAATTCAGGCAAAAAATAATTAGCATAATAAAGATTAAAGATCCACGTGAAACGCAATGTCATAATTAATCCTGTATCATATAAAGATGGACTCCTTTAGATCTGGATGCACGTTTTAATATTTTAAAAAGTTAAAAAAAAAATTATTATTAATTAATAATTGAGCCAACGGCTGTTAAAGCACGCTGATGCCGCAAACCAAAAGTTCTTAAATTATGTAAATTTTAGGTTTTAACAATTCATTTATACATTGCGTACGTAAAAAATAAATTCAATTATAAATCTGCGATATTTTTTTAAATATCGTGTTTCAATTATATTTATTTTATATTTTAATGCAGTCGATTTTTAGCGTCAAATGAAAGACAAGGATGGTGTTACAAGAAAATCTTAATATTTAAAAAAATAAATTTAAAACGTGAGAATAAGTGAGGAAATATATATATAGGAAACAGTAGCAACGAGTGATCGGATCTAACGAATCATAAGCTGGCTGCTAAGTGTTGAAAAAGTTGGGTACCATACATTGGAGTGATAGCCGGCGGATATTTGGAGGTTTGCTCTCAAATTATTCCTTTTTTTTACTTATCATTTGCATAAAATATTGATCGTGACAATCATTTTTTTTTTGGTGATCTGCATCATCATCAATTATTCAACGAAGTATGATTTATTCTATGAATTGTTACGAAAGTTCGTAACAAATTCCAAATTTAATTTCTAAAGTTTTGATTGAACACCTTTTTGAAAATTTATTGTATTATCCTACGTGTCATAGTTACTGTCAATGTGTGGTCGACCCCTTTGGATTAATTGGACAAAATTCCTTCTCAAGGCCCGAATTTCACATTGTTTTATGCTGTTTTACCATTGAATTATTTTACACGTATGTCAGAGCTTACACCTTGTTGTAATGCCTTTTCACCAATCAATGATGAAATGTTACTAGGGTTATAAACTCTGACGTACATATATCAAAACCTTTTTTACCATTGAATTATTCTACATGTACATCAAGATTTACGCACTGGTAAAAAAAATTAGGATATTAGCTAGAAGATAGATTTGGAAATTTTCTCCCATACTCATTTTATTAGTTGTATCAATTGAGTTTGACCATGTTCATTGTAACAACTAATGGACTTCTATCAAAATTATATAAAAGTTTGCCAAACAACGCTCAATAATAGAATTGATCTCCCGTCTTCGATTGGAAGGATAAAAATTTCTCACTGTTAATGAGAACTTTAGTTGCAGTTATTTGAATTTATCACCGCTTTATAATTAAGGTTATTTTATTACGTCAAGGTGAAAAGTTTTTATCCGGCCTAGTCGGCGGAGGTCAGAAATACTCTCAATAATTGGAGAATTTGACCGTTCCCTTGGCTTATAAAGGCACCAATTTGTGAGTTGCTGTGGTATCTATCCCTCTCTGTCTCTCTCTCTTTCTCTCTCTCTCTCTCGAGAACAGAAAGGGAGGTGAAAATGGGAAGATCCCCTTGTTGCTCTAAAGTGGGGTTGAGGAGAGGACCATGGTCAACTAAAGAAGACGCTTTGCTAACAGATTACATTCAAGAACATGGTGAAGGCCAATGGAGATCTCTCCCCAAGAAAGCTGGTAAAGTATCTTCTTGGAATTTTGTCCACTCTCTTTCTGGTCGATACTATTCCTATTTTCATTTCACATTTTCTTATTATTAATGTTCAAAATTTTATAGGGTTGTTGAGATGTGGAAAGAGTTGCAGATTGAGATGGATGAACTATTTGAGGCCTGGTATTAAGAGAGGAAATATCACTCCTGATGAAGAAGACTTAATTACTAGACTCCATTCTCTTTTGGGAAATCGATGGTCACTCATCGCAGGAAGATTGCCCGGTCGAACGGACAATGAGATCAAGAATTACTGGAATACACATCTTCTCAAGAAGGTAAAACCTGCAGGAATCGACCACAAAGATGTGCCAAAACGACAAAAACAGCCAAAACTAAAATCCAAGAAACCCGCGGTTCCAAAAGCCTGTGACAAGCCGGAAAAGAAGCAAAGCAAGAAAATCGATAAAGAAAATACAAACGATCCCAAAACAGAAGAAGAAGAAGAAGAAGAAGAAGCAGAAGAAGCAGCAGCTCCGCCTAAGATTACAGTTTATCTGCCAAAACCCATAAGGGTTTCTTCAGTATTTTCAAGAAGTAATAGCGTTGACAGTTTATTCAGTGGCTCATCGTCGAGTGAATATGACGTGGGAAAATATGCAACACTTGCTGGAACGGCGTCGTACGTAGACTGGCCTGTGTTTGAACTTGAAGATGCAAATTATGGAATCTGTGGAGAATCTGGAGAACTTGATTTTTTCAGTGGATTTGATATGCCGTCACTCCCACATTCAGAATCTTCCAATCATGTAAACATGCTTGAACAAGTCTACGACGAATATTTACAGCTTCTTTAAATTATAAGTTAGCATGTTAATTAATTTTTTTAACTTAGTCTAGATTATGCCATTTAATTTTTAGTTGTTGGAAGATTTAAATAGAAAATAAGCTACAAGTTGTTGTATGGTACTATATGTACATTAAATAAGCAATAATGAGAAATTTCCAAAAGAATCTCCACCGTGTTTTTTAAGGTTGAGTGATGCTACAAGAACATAATTGTCTACATAATGGTATAAATAATTACAATTGACATTGATTAAAACCTTTAATTCAAATCTGATACTTTCACAACAACGACGATGGTTGTCACATCACATTATGTCATTCATTGTGTACATTTATTATGTACACTTAGCATTGACAACTTGGTATTTGTCGAGTCTTTTTGGACGTAAAGGTTTTTTTTAAATCTTTTTTACACTATTTTTTTTTTGTCCTTATTTGGTGGGATTAAAATCAAATTTTTAATAAATTTTGATAAAAACCGATGAAATATGTGGTTGAAAAGTTATGAATCTTGATTAAAATTTATTTTTAATCACTCATTTTAATAGATTCACAAGCACTATCTACTTATTCATCACTTATTTATATATATTTTTAAATTAAATCGTTTATAAATTCTTTCCGAACATAGGCTTAATAAACAAAGGAAACACGTTTTCATGCATTATTACATTTCAATGACTATAATTATTCATCCTATGTTTTTGTATTAATTTTATTAAATATGTATCAAATGATGACCATACATGATTTTTGGTCTTCTACTTTGTGTACTACAAAATAATTTTTCAATAAACATATGAGACAGACAATATAAAAAATATCTCTCATTTTTCTGACAAAATGTTAGAAACTTCTTTCGCGATTAAAAAATGTATATATCCCTTTGTCGAATCTCACGTAGGTTCTAATTGATCTTTTTGATAATGAAACAATCTTATAACTTCCTAAAATTCACCCAAAATCGCATAAGATAATTTCGTTTGTGATTTAAACGAGATGATTTAGGCCATGTTTGTTTCGAATTAAAATCAGATTTTAATCTAAGTCAAAGTCAAACAATCAATATTAGTCACATCTTTCATGGGTCACGACTGTTCAACCACACTTTTTAAAAACTTCCATCACGATCTTTTCAAACTCCAATAATTAGAGGAGCACATCCAAAGTTTCAAAATGCCAATAATTTGACACGAGAAAAACGTGATTATGATTACACTTGAAATTCTAAACAATTCAGAGAAGAATTATTATTGGTGGACATTAAAAAATTGATGTCCACAAAGGATGACCCTTCAGACAGAGTTACTTTGTCGTTTGCTTGCAATATACATAGATGAACGGTCGAAATTTATTTAAAGACAAAAGTCTCAATAAACTGTGAATACCCCACAATTTAGTTATAATGAAGAGTCTCGTTCGTAGTTTGGACACAAAATCATGATTCATGTGAATATTTCACACTGTTTGATTTTACACTAATCCGGGTTGTACGGAAGCAAAACGCGATACAGAAAAATGAAATGCAGTAGAAATATTATATTATTAATTAAATAAATTATGATAATGAATAAATATTTATATTTTTAGTGAAAAAATTCAAAATATAAATGAAGTAAATTACTTCACAACGTTCTTAGTCAAAGTTTGAATAAATATTTGTTCTTTGATTGATTGCTGATTTTGCGGTTTAGATTCTCTTTCATGAAAGTTTAATAGAAAAATAAAAAGTCTTCATCCAGACTGGGAGGCACAAATAATTGATAAAATTAAATTTATATTAAAATCTAGCATATTAGTTCCCGAACAGTGGGATGAGAAAAGCTCCGAAAATGTGGGCTCCACCTTTTTCTATTCTGTAGCCTTCGAAGGCAAGGTTACCTTATATCCATTCATCTCATAAGTTAACTTTAAGTCGGAGCTTATAATTAAATTTTGCATTGAAAATTAATAAGGGTCCGTTTGGTTCTCATTATTGTAGAATGAGAATAGAAAATATAACCGTTATTGGGCCCCACACAAGATATATAAATTCAAAATTGATAACTTGATGTGATTGATAACGGTCATATTTTTTATTTT